ATCTAACATTTGAATATTAGAATATCTGACATACATGCAAACATACATACAGGCATTTTATTTTTTACGAGACCTTTTCCTTTACAGTCAAGGGAATAGAAGTTCTCACTCAGCGCCAATGTGGCCCATTCCAGCACATTCCATAAGCCTCTCAAAAAAGGAGAATGGAAGAAACTGTAAAAAATGGGATGGAGTGGTATGGAATGGGCCATTCCGTCCCATAATTGCCATAGGAGACGAATAACAACACGACAAACGTGTGTCGCTATCATGACGAGGTAATGATGAGATTGGAATCTGTATTTGAAAAATACAGAAGTTTGAAAATCGCACGGCCGATGCCCGTTATAAGGGAGCTAAAAAAAGACATGTTCATATGTTGGTTATTATCAAAGCAACACTCAGAGGTATTGTGAAAATTGTAGCCATGGCTATGACAACGATAATGAGAGAAATAATTATAAAATCGAAAATATTAAACAGATGTACAACACTTGGCATGATCTAACGTCAGTGTCTTGCAGAAACGCGCATCTTCTTCGGTGAATATTGTATAATGGCACACTAAAAGGAGATAAAATTAAATGATGTTCGTGTGTTAATGTTCAACTGTATATTCATTTATTGTTGTCCAGTCTCCAACTATTTCTTGTCCATTGTATAATACCTGAATATTTCTTTCTTGATCTCTGTATGTAATTGTAATTTTATTACCCGAATGTTCTTGAATATTTTCATATCCACTACCTTTGTAGGATATCAAACCATTTATACCCGATTTACGTCGACGTACATGTTTAAAGATTGGTTCTATTAAACGATTGATTTCAATTGTTTGTTTTTCTTTTCGAATTGTCTGAATGTTTCGATCTTTTATTTCTACTTTGCTAACCGGTAGTCTGTCCATTGCTATTAATGTACCATACAATGTATCTAAACGAGTATCATATATTTTTTTGATATCATTTGAAACCACTCATTTAGAACGTCTGGAAAATAGCCCTTCCATAATCTTGTTCTCATGTCGGCTAGTTATGCAAGAAATATTTCATTTCAATCGTGCAGAAATTGTTAATGTTAATTCCTGACAGAAATACTAAATTTTGACGGTATACTAGCTCCGTTAGTTCTCAAAAGCGACATTTACTTTCAAAGTATTTAGGAGTCCTAAAACGTTACGTCAGTGATGGACAACTCGGTTGATCTTTAGTCAATCTTCATAGATATATCTACAAAACCCGATTTTGAATTTTGATCTAGTTACTTAAAGAGACAAAGATTTCTGATTTCGTTTTTCTCAGTTTTTTTTTTTCGGTAAAAAAGAAAATACCAATATATGGAAGATCAAACTGAACTATGCGCCACCTTCAATGCACCGACCATCGTATTAAGTTTGATATATTCCGTTTATTGAATCCTTTATGTATTATAGTATAGTAAACAAGCGATCACAGCTACTAAGGAACGTAACAACACCTTTTTATACACTTCTAAACTGTTATGTCAGTTAATGACACGATATCAATTAGTCCAGGGCTGGCAATAGGCATGCTGCAATTTGTATGATCCTAAGCATTTCTATGCTTACTGTGAACATCAACAAAACAGCATCTCACATAGTATTTTGGCACTCTTTTTCTGCTACTGGAAAAATATGTTCGCGTTAGGTGCACAGCGTAAGAAGCTACCGACAAAAGAAAGAATATTAATCAGTGCAATCACGATAAATCAATAGACTCTTATTTCCTTGTATGAATTAAGTCTTCCACAAATTTATGTAAAAAAGCCTTTATAGATTATCAACATGAACGGGGCTTCTGAATGCACTTATTAAAAATGATGGCTCGCAAGCCTATTTGTACACTATAATCAAAGTACGAGTGACTGAATTTTAAAGCTACACCGTAGCTTTGATACAAAATTGCACCATAAACAAAAACAATAATTATTAAAACTGATCTTACTGAGGTCAGTTTGCTGCTTTATATTTTGAAAAAAATCACATATTCGGAATCAGCGTCGAATTCTGAACAAAATGAGGTATCTCTTAGCATGGCCAAGTCACTTTCGATTTTTTCGAAAATTTCGCCCT